TGCGCGCGCGCACACACTCCCGCACAGCGCAGCTCCGCACGCTCCCGCGCAACGCAGCTCCTGCGCGCACGCTCCCACGCGTGCACACACACACACATACACACATCACACACACACAAACTCACACACACACGCACACACGCACACACACACACACGCGCGCACACACACTCACACACGCACACACGCACACACGCACACCTCTCTCTCTCTCTCTCAGATCATCGCTGCACCCCCATATATGTATATATATTTACGTATTTTTAGGGGGAAAAAAAATATATTGAAAAAACAGGCCGCAGACTGGGTCTCATCGGCCGCGGGCGGGACCGAAATGCCCGCGGCCTAGGCCGCGGGTGTCACATAGTTAGCCAATCCAGTCCAGTCCAGTCCAGTTAGTCCGCTGGGATATACCCCAGCCTGAGTCTGTACTTTGGGGCATTCTATATTCGCACAGTTTGGAGTACGTGCGTTGGAGTCTGCGTGGGAGCTGCGCTGTGCCATCTTACTCCACCCTCGTCCTCCATCTCCATCTCTAACCCAGACGGAGCACCTCACTCGGTGGGTCCGCCACACTGGTATCAGAGCGGGAATGTTCCCCGCTTACACCCACCGCACTACACAGTGGGAAATATGGCAAAACCTGACAATGGATTTTTTGGCTGTTTTTCGAGTGTTTCCAGAGGAAAACATTAGGAAAACGTGACGAAAGGTGCATCAGGGAAGAAGTGACACGTGGCGAGAAAAGAGAGCCGTTGATTACAACGCGCAAGCACCAAGGCCAACGCCGCCGCACACGCACACACATGCGCCCCGCTGCCCCACCCCGCCCTGCTCCCGGATTAGTTATATCAAGATCCGGGATGCATGCTGCTGCCAGGGTTTGAACCTGGGCAGCTGCTGGCCATGTGCGTGCGTAGCTGCTGCCATAACACACAGGCCAAAGTGTGTGTATTTTTTTCAGTCAGCCAGTTCAGTGAGGAGAGTGCAATCGACGTCCTCCTCACATGGTGCTTGCAGGACAGTGAAGAGCTCGTCCATGGTGTAAGCATCGCAACCGGACAATTGTTTCGCGAATAAGCTGAACTTTGCGTCTATGTCAGTATGTGCGTGCCCCACTATCATGAAGCTCATTTCTACGACCTCGAAGATACGGAACTTGACAAGCATGGCCATGAAGGCGAACACGTACTTATTTTTGTTCTGACCACCACAGTTGTCCGCCTGCACCCGCAACAGGGACGGGAGCGCGCCTTTGCGTGCTTGCACATCTTGCAAGACTTTGGTGATGGATGTGACAACAAAGTTAGATCTGTGCGACGCAGAGAAGGAAACCGTGATTAGAAAAGGAAAGAGTCGCATTGTTAGAATATCAGTGGCGAGCTCGTTTTTTTTCACCAAACTTTTTGACAGCGAAATGGGGTATCGAGAGCGAGAGGTGCTGCATTGGTTGAAAAACGTCATAATAAGTGACATGGACTTGATTATTACCCCTTTCCAAATCGTACACATAAGCCACTGGACCCTCGTTATGGTTGACTTAAAAAGGAGGAAATTCAAATTTCATGACTCCCTCAGCCCCGACATGGAACTGGCAAGAAAAGTGACCGACGGATTTACGAAGTTTTTATTCGAAAGATCGATTGAGCAAGGCAAAGAGGTGGACACGAAACCCTTTAATCACATATGGAACGTAGAGGGCGTCCCGAAACAATGTGACACGAACTCATGCGGGGTCTTCATGCTCACATACGCATCACTATTGGCAAGGGGTCACCTTTCGCCTTTCTCTTTCACCGTTGATGACATACCCGCAATACGTCGTCGACTGGCTTTGGACAATGTGGCTCGTAAGTAGTATGTACCTGTTATTGGATATTAGGATTACATGCGGACAGATGTGGGTAACATGAAATTGTGTGTAACGGAATCAATGTATAGAAGGTGGAAAACATTGCTCCATACCCTTCCCCTGTACCACTTGCCATTTACCCCTTATCCCTTACCCCTAAACCCCTTACCCCTTACCCCTTACCCCTTACGTGTACGTGTATACCTGTACCTCAAACCTC